TCTCTTTGGCTGCTTTTAATTGAGCTGCTCATATTCGCACTACAGTATGCCTTTTAAACATGTATTGTATACCCGTGGTGTTTATTTGTATTATTTTATTATCTTTGTTTTGTCATGTCTGTCGTAAAATGCCATTATATATGTGTTTTTACTGTATGTATTCCTAAAAAGTCTTTTCATTTGTTTTGTAAAGCACTTTCAATTGTCGCGTACAGAAAAGTGCTATATAAATAAACGTGCCTTGCAGCCAAACCTGACATGCTCTTCTCTGTCATACCCTGACCGCAAATACCTCATTCCTTCTGTCTACTTGTATCCGAAATGCTTCTCGTTTTGCGCTGTCCTCCCGTTCAAATGAAATCGCGGCCAATCATATTTCCAAGCTCGCGCCAGGGGGGGGGAGGGGTTACAAGGCTCGCGTCTTGTGTTGCATTCACTTGCACTCGGACATTAGAGATTTTCTCTCATAAATGTCCGATGAGCCACAACTTTTTCTTTCAAAACAAAGCTGCCAAATGGGGTGGCAGCTGGGGTGGCAAGGCATTTTTCTGAGGTGGCAGCTGCCACCCCGTGCCACCCCGTAGAACCGCCACTGGCCAAGTGTGCACATTGCAGTCATTGCACTCTCATGTCACTTCGTATTTTGCCAATATGTTTTCCTCTTGTGGGACTTAGCATATGTTTTGGTTACGCCTGTTTTCAAGAGGGTTCAGCTGAAGTCTATTCTATAATGGTGCTGCTGAGAGATTTACCCAGAACTGCAGCCTAAAGCACCATTTTCCTGTTAATGTGTTTTGACAAAGCCTCAAGCATCTTTGAACTGCTTAGATTACAGTATTGATATGCTGGAAATTAACAAAAGGCAAACAAAGCATTGATCTTTTTTCAAGAATTGACAATAAAAGTCAGATTACAAAACAATCTGACGTGTGTTAGAGTTGGGTGGTGTGTGCCAGGAGTAGGAGGGGCTGCTGCGAGTAAAGTGCACAACATTCACCCCCCCTCGAGCAGCCATTTGCACTCTGCACCTCCTTCACAGAGGACTCACCTTTCACAAGTTCAAGTGGAGTTTTGAATTAGATTGCATCTCATGGAGGTCAGGATCACCTGTGGACTGTGGTTCTTCGCCTTTATTTTGGGATGTGGGCGACTATCGGCGTTCAACCTGGACAGCACGAATGTCCAGCGGAAGAACGGGGACCCGGGCAGCTACTTCGGCTTCTCTCTCGCCATGCACTGGCAGCTTGCTCCGGAGGATAAGAGAATGTAAGATTTCAACTTTTTGATTTTAGAAGGGGTGGCATGTTTGGTGGCAGGTAAAGATAGCTACTTCTGTGACGTCCAAGCCTTAAAAACAAGTCGTTAAAATAACTTTTGTAACCATGTAATAAAAATGTCATTTAAATGTAGACGACTGTAAATGTGTTTTTACAGTGTCAGAGCTGCTACATGAGAGGAACCCCCCCTCTAAACCACACTTTTCACCTCACCCTTCAAATGTCATAAGTACTCAATTCTTCGTGAATGTTGAGCTCAGGTGTGTCGCAGCCGGTAGTCTCTTAGAATTTAGCTTTTTTACTACATTTTAGAAAAACTACAGCTTCTGAACACAACTGTATACACGCCTGTACGTTTAATTAATGGCCAACACATTGTTAATCGTTGTTGAGTTTTACTTTCCAGGTTACTTATTTGTGAGTTTTTATTGGACCTCTACAACAGCTTTTTGCACGTAACATATACGTAACAAACTCTCCCCCTCTCTCTCTCTCTGTGACCAAAATATCTCATTGAATCATTGTTGGCATTTTTATGGGCATTAATTCAGAGGGATTTCTCCTTTTGCACAAAGGCTAAGAGCCATCAAGTGGTCACTGGTTTGAATAGCATGATTATCAACAGACCTGAGATCAGAGCAGTCAAATTCTTTAAACTGTGAGTCTGTTAGACTATAAAGGACCAGTCAGAAATCAATTAACATGTTTTCCTATTTTTGTCACTAAAATACTTTAAATTGTGTTGGTGGCAACAAACAGTGGTGTTGGAATTATTCAGATAAAAGTAGCAAAAACACACTGAAAATGTATCATAAGTTAAAAAAGGTAACTATAACAAAGTAATAAAACCACCAAAAGAAAATGCACTTAAAAATAATAACATAATCTGATTTGTATTATGAGGCAAGGATTTGTAAGTAGTGTTATTAATGTTTTAGTTGGTTGAGATGGAGCTTTTTTTTTACCTGCTTTATTGTATACATGGTTGGGTAGTTTAATCCATAACATTGGTAAATATTTGATAAACCTATATGTTTTGTATATCAAAACTAAAATAAGTAAAGTTTAAACTATGGCTGTTAAGGTCTACGCACTGTGGTGACCTCAAATAATTAGTTATACAAATACAAAATGCAATTTGGACAGCGAGAGTTGCTTGTTGACTAATTACTAGATAGAAATGTCGGTTTATCAATACATTCGGAGTAAAAAGCTGGTCAATAGCAGCAGAAAGAGTCACCCACGATTAGATTTTGATTATCACAAGAGAAACTTTTGGAGGTGGCCTATTTGAAATGAATTAGAATTTTTTTTGAAAAAATTGCATCTTGTGCTGTATAAGGGACAGTGGTGGAATTCTACCACTGCGCACACACACGCACGCACACACACACGCGCACACAAACACACACACACACACACACACACACACACACACACACACACACACACACACACACACACACACACACACACACACACACACACACACACACACACACACACACACACACAAACACACAATCACACAGTGGCAGTGTGTATCCTAGTTTAAGGCTTTTTCTAAATGAAAGACACATGGTGATCAGCACAAGACCAAAGCCCCCCTGCTCCAGGTTGTAACGTTACATACAAACAGAACACAGTTGGATTATGTGATCAGAGACAAACATGTAAGTAGATAATACTTACTTGCCTCCTGTCTCGTAGAATTCTGAATCCTTTGAGTTCTGGGACAGTAAGTTAAACAAAAATAACTATTTTGATACAGAAATTGGGACTCTTGCAACTACAATAGGATATGTTTGGGGCCAGACAGTGCCTTTATTGGAGAAAAAGTGTTGAAAGGGGGAGATATAGGGGATGACATTGCCTGACTGTCCAACCACCGAGCTACCGGGCAGCCCTGCAATAATCATTTTAACACTTGTCTGACATTTTGTGGATTTAACTATTAAATCGTTACTGATTAAGAAAGCAATTGGCAGCTTTATAATAAAGAGTATATGTTATGTTCAGCTACAATCCTCATTTAAAAGTGGTCTAAAAGTATTTTAGCATTTATTTATGATGATACAAGGCAATTAGCCCTAATCTTTTGTCAAAAAACATTCTTAAAACCGTAGCTTGAACCATCAGCAACATATCTGTGTGTGCATGTTGGAGCAGGTAGACATGTTTGTTTTGCAAGTGAAGGCGCTCCAACTGCTGTTGTAGAGGTGGAATGTGCTCTTACTGTGGACTGTGTATTTGTGTATGCATATGCATCCATGTGCGGCCTGTGCGGATGTGTGTGTGTGTGTGTGTGTGTGTGTGTGTGTGTGTGTGTGTGTGTGTGTGTGTGTGTGTGTGTGTGTGTGTGTGTGTGTGTGTGTGTGTGTGCGCGCGCGCATGTATGAGTGCCTGTTCGGTGTGTATTAATGGTGCTGATGCATGCTGAGGCTGAGCACTGAGGCGTTGCCCTGTTGTCAGTCACTTGGAAGAGTGTCAGAGAGCTCAGTGTGCTTCTTGAAGCACTTCTAACCTGAGGCAGAAAAAAAAGTAGAGATACAGAGAATAAAAAAAGAGTTTATTTGCTGAAGGTGATTTAGTTCTCTAATGTGAATTGCATCAACACGTGCGCAAGTGTTGGCGTGTGTGTACTTGTGCCCCCCACCCATGTGTCTCCCACTGCTGGGTGTGTACAGTGAGTCACAATCCTTTTCCAGCCATGCATGCCAACTTTTATTCAGTCTAATATATTGCACTGTCTTTCTAGCCCCTCAGGGATGAGTTTTACATGTACCTGCAGGAGAGGGCAGGAGCTAATCGGATCCTGTATATGCATGTGTCACTGTGTGTGTGTGTGTGTATGTGTGTGTGTGTGTGTGTGTGTGTGTGTGTGTGTGTGTGTGTGTGTGTGTGTGTGTGTGTGTGTGTGTGTGTGTGTGTGTGTGTGTGTGTGTGTGTGTGTGTGTGTGTGGCATTCTATGGTTGGCCATAATTGCCAGATGGAGCTGTCTAATAAAATCAAGATCAAAATGCACGAGTGGGGCAAGGAGGGAGAAGGAGACAAAGTGAAGGGTTAGGGAAGTTTAAGAGCTTGGATCAAATGTGAGAAATGTCTGGGAGAAAGTAAATGTGTGTGTGTTTCTGAGGATTTAGATGTATCTACAGTAAAGGATAAAGGGACACACTGTCGGTAACAGGAAACAGACATGCCGACATGTTACATGTTCAACAGTAATGTCACACGCTGTGTCTAGATCTTTTTAAATGATAAAAGAGAAGATGGGAGAGTTTAAGTCAGATTTGTTGTGAGTGTACATGGCCTGTGTACAAGTATGAAAGTCTGATTTGCCCCTCCCCACTCCCACCTTCCCCTCAGGTTAGTTGAGGATATCCAACATCAAAGGAGGAAAGAAAGAGGTGATGACTGAAAGAATGCTGAGAGGAACATAAATCAGTTTTACATCTGGGCACCAAATATCAGCTGCTATTCAGACTCGCTGGGATTTGATCCTGGCAGATTGATGGAGATAGAAGTTGGGAAACAGACATAATATTTACCTCAAGATCTGCAAACCATTTGGAGGTCTAGTTGATAGGGTGCAGCTTGCTGTCGCTAAGCAACTGGCTTAGTCGACAGCCAGTTTGCTGCTGTGGGAAAAAAGTACACAACTCTCTCTATGGGATATCTCTCTGATGGTCACTCTGTCTGTGCCACTGCCACACACACTCTATTTATATTTTTCTGTTTGTCTTTCCTGTAGTGTTAGCCTGTGTGTCGGGGTTTCCTAAGCTGTTGGTGAACGATTAGATGAACAGCTGGTTCTTGGTCAATGAGGCAGCGACTGATCGGATCACTGACATGTCATGTCGGCTCTTCACTCTTCAAAAGCAATACACGATAATAATGTGTTGCAAATAAGATTATATACAGTATATCTCTCAAGATTAGTCTCCAATTCAGTTTCTTGAACAAGGCCTTTTATGATCAAATGTAAGTAAAAACACTGCCACTTCTTCCTGGAATAATGTACAGTGGGACGGGAAATTCTCCGAGCAAGTTCATATGGGGGAAATATTAAGAATATTTTAAAGGATAGACAATATAGCACCTATTTGTACAACACTCATTGGCAATCTGATGACTCTACGCTTTTTAGCTTCACTAAAATTAATTGTTAATCCGACCCCATTTCCAAGTTGTGTCTTTGCAGAGCTCTCACTGTTTATTCTCCTGGCTTCCTGTGTCTCCGACAAAAATCGTAGTAAAGGTTTGCCCTCCTGGGATTCACTGTTAGTCACACATCTTTAAAGCGATAACACATTTTAAACTCATCTTTCAAAGACAAGTAGGCGGTGTGAAAATGTGTTTTCCTGCTTAGTATGATAGTGCACCTCAAGGTGGAGAGTTGAACTCTGGGTCAAATGTCATTTCCTCCCTTAGTAGTTTAAGAAAAAGCAGCATTGGCCACACACTCGTTTGGTTAAAGGCGCAAATTACAGTGTTCTGGTTTTTGAAACAAATCCAAACCAATCCAGCGGTTCAGATTGGATAAACAGTGTGTGACTTTCTTTCCATTGAGTTCACTTGTCGTGATGTATTTTATTTAGGAGAAATGGCATCATACTTTATTTTCTCTAAAACAAATCTTAATCCATCTTCTAATGGCAGCCTCATAAGTCTGTGGACAATTTCAACCAGTCATATTGATGTCATATAAATAGATTTATTGTCGTTACTAATCCCCATTGCGCCAGCTTAAGTCAATAATCATGAAGATTTATGCTGTTACATTTAATATTGAAACGTCTCCAACATGTAGTATTTGCGGTGTTGAGTGGGTCTGCCCTACAGACATGCTGATGACATTATGCCTCAGCTCTTCACTCTGACTATATGTCTCTGTTGATTCCCTCCCAGATGCCGAGCGTATATGAGAATGCTTTGTCTAACGGCTAAAAATGGCTTTCCTAATGTCATCTGGTGAAGACAGTGTGCTGTTTAACATTAACTCTGGATGTCATCGGACAGACTGAGCAAGCCAGAGAGCATACAAGGATAGAGAGAGAGATGTGTGTGTATTGAGACTAGTGTAAACCTCCACAAAGCATCAGTTGAAAGGATAACATCCTCAACTTAGTTTGATTTACTCTGTAAGAAACCATGGGAACTGGTCGCCAATCATCAAGTCTTGGGTGTGGCACTTGCCCTAGACCTTGGTCCACAATGGCAGCCAGTATGTGTGTGTGTGTGTGTGTGTGTGTGTGTGTGTGTGTGTGTGTGTGTGTGTGTGTGTGTGTGTGTAAGGAGATAGAGAGAGAGAGCCTGGCTCAATCAACCACAGCAGACGTTTGAAAGCGGTCTTTGACTCAGTGGGGCCGTGAGGACATGGAACATCAGTTTGGTGGCGGATGTGTGTGTTTGTGTGTGTGAATACGACTGCTGTATGAGACAGTGGACTGGAATGTGTGATAGTATGATGTGTAAGAAGAAGAAATGCCAGAATGCTTCTTATTCTGAGTCCTAGATGGAAATGAGTGTCACTGCTTAACGTCCATTTGATTTAAATGCAGCTGAGAATCACTTCTACATATCCTCGTGTAGGTACCTCGGAATAATGTGTTGGATAGGAACGGAATTTATTAACCATTATACAGTAGATCAAAAGTTGTAATTGTTCAACCATGAAGCTCAACCATGAAGCTTTTAAAAATAGACATGATATCATGAAAATGAATCTGAAAAAAACATATCAGGTTGCAGATTTCCACGTTCCCCACTTTAATAATCACTTGTTTAACGGATTCCTTTGTGTTTCTGTTGCAGGCTGCTGGTTGGTGCCCCGAGAGCAAAAGCCTTGAGTGGCCAAAAATCCAAGGTGACAGGAGGACTGTACAACTGTGACATGATATCCACCTCAACGTCTTGCTCCAGAGTTCAATTTGATAACAATGGTGAGATAGCTAGTTACCTAGTCAATACGGCCATTTTAAAGACCCCTTCTCAATATTTGATTCACATTATCCTCTTTGTCTCTATTCCTGTCTCTGTGTAGAGAAAACAAACGAAGAGAGCAAAGAGAACCAGTGGATGGGAGTGACCGTCAACAGTCAGGGGCCAGGAGGAAAAGTTGTGGTAAGACTGTGTGACTGTGCGACATTTTTCACAATTTTACAGTATTTTATATTATAGTAACTTATGGTATCTTTAAGTCAGTTGATTGAAGAAATAGTTGTCGGATTAATTGGAAATTGCAATAATCTTCAGTTTCAGCCCCACCAATACCTTTCAGCTTTCAAGGGTATCAGACATGCAGTGCTCGGTGGGAATACAGGGAAAAACATTGAACATTTTCCATTAACAGAACAGACATGAAAGTTGTGTCTTTGATGTGTCAGTCTTTCAGTCAAATAAGGCGTATGCCATGAAACTCTGAATAAAGCAGACAGAAAATGTTTGGCTACAATCAAAGGTGTGGTCGGTAAGTTTGAGAAACCGGCTCGATGCACACTCTTTGTTATATTCCATGGAATTCTCTTAACATCCCGATAGCAATGAATATCTGAAGTGCTTTGACAAAAAATCCATAAAAAAATGTCATCTGTGGAAGCCGTAGTACTGTAAAAAGCACGACCAATTTTTTTAGCCGGCCCGGCCAAAATAACTGGATGGCCTACCTGCCTGTCAGCCTTCCATCTGTGCACAAACTTATCTCGTGCCCTCATTGGTCATGTGCGCGTTCGTGTGTGTTGGAGGAGGGGCTCTGTAAGGAAGTGGCAGATTTTTTCCGGTTGTGTATTTTCAAATTCTAGCGCACTNCTTTACTGTGAGAACGAGGAGCAAGTGTGCACATTGCAGTCATTGCACTCTCATGTGCTAAGTCCCACAAGAGGAAAACATATTGGCAAAATACGAAGTGACATGAGAGTGCAATGACTGCAATGTGCACACTTGCTCCTCGTTCTCACAGTAAAGTGTGTTTACTGACATCCTTGCCGTTAAAAAGTAGAAGCAGAGACAATAGGCTGTGAGAGAGAAGAGGGAGAATCATTCATGCTCAGTAATTTGTCAATATATTCATTTTGACAGAAATGTCAATTCCTTTAACCAGTTGAGCCGCAAGTCTGTTTTTCAGGCCTCAGGCTCGAAAATGACATTCCAAGAACAATTGACTATATCTTCACTTCTAAAAGGGGAAAATGAATCATCTTTTTTCTCAAAGCAATGATAAACCTGTGAGTTGGATGTAGAAAAGTCATAATCAATATAGAACTTTGTTATTTTAAAGAAATTCAGATTGAACATAGTAAAAAAAAAACATTACTTATAGTGAAAACCAGTGGGTGTAGTGGTCGTTGGACGCGGGGGATCGCCGTCCCCCCATTTATTTCGAGCCCCCACTTTTTTGAAGCATGATTCTTTTTGAATAGTCTAATAAATATAAATCATTGCCAGTGTTATCAGTTGCAAGTGTGTATTTGTTGTAATAATGNAAGTAAAAATACTATGCTCTTGAAATACTCGCGAGTCTTATCAAGTATTAGGTCCTCTACATTGACGTGGAATTGTGACGCACTGTGATTTCTCCGACATTTTGCCTACATTTTTTCTCAAATCAGAATTACTACTAGTAATCTAAATGTACTTCAATATTAAAAGTAACTAGGAATCATGTGATAGATGACTCGCGGATCTTTTCTTTTATATTTATCAGAATTTGTGTTGGTATATGCTTTCTCACTTACCATAACGTTTTTATGTGTATGAGATTTGCGAGTAAATGTTGAGCTATTTTAGTAACCAGTATACGCTTCAATGGTGGATATCTACATCGGAATTGGAAGGAAGGGCAAGTACAATATTTGCTTATAAAATGTAGTGGAGTAGAGGTATAAAGTCGCCGTAAATGTTAATATTCACGTAGATGTAAAGGTCTTTGGCGGTCGAAAATAAATAGTAAGTAGAAACTTTTAGTAAAATGACTTAGTTATCTGTTGTCGCTATGGTCTGAATGATCTCATCCTTTTTTTTTTCATCCTGCTACACAGTGTATTCCCATACTAAATCGTTATCCAGTAACATTTATATACCTTGACAGATCTTTACTTCTATAGACATAGAACAACTAATAAAAAATAGCCTGAAACAGTCTCTGTCGAAGAGTTTCTGCAGTCATGTGGGAACCTGTCCATAACTCACTCACAAGTATTCAGGTACAATTTGACCTTGAAAGCGGGATAGGTCATTCACTCAGAAACACTTATTTTGTTATATCCATGGAATGCTCTTACATCCCGATAGCAATTCATTATTAATGCTTGCAATAAATAATTAAAAAATTATCTGTGGAACGTGGCGCTGTAAAACTTCTCGTCGCCAACTTATCTCGTGCCTCATTGTCATGTGCGGCCTTTCTGTGTGTTGCGAGGAGACTCTGTAAGAGTTCTGAAGGAAGTAAAGGACAGATATTTTTCAGCTGCGTAGTTTTCAAATCTATTGCGCTCAAGCCTGATTTCCACATATCTACCGTACCTACTTTAAACGCATCCTATTCCCACGTCATCTTTGATTAGTTTTTAATCCTTTAAACAAATGCTAATATCATACGAAAAGAAATATGTTTTGTCGAGTCATCACACACTGTCCCTGCTGACTGCGGCATGAGTCTCAGTCAGTTGACGTAGTTCAGCTTTGTTGACTCTTCTCAGTCCCTCCCCCCTCTCTCGCGCTGGAACGGTGGTTTGTAGTTCTCATGGGAAATTGCCTGAGCTTTCAATTTGCATGAAAAGTCAGCACTTAATGAGGATTTTTGTCATTTTGTTTTAGCAGCATATGAATCAACAGAGTGAAGAGGAGTAACAGAAATCCCAAATGTTATTCTTTGGCGAGGCTTCTTTAAGGAAATGTCAACCTTTTTGTTACCACAAAGACAATCATCCAGTAAAAAATCAATCTCCAGAAGCAATAATGCTAATGTGTGAAGAGAGGACATGTCTCTGTCCGTTGCACATAATTTCCCTGCCAACGTTTTATGTAAATATAGTTCAGTTAACACCAGTGGTGTAGTGGTCGTTGGACGCGGGGGATCGCCGTCCCCCCATTTATTTGGAGCCCCCACTTTTTTGAAGCATGATTCTTTTTGAATAGTCTAATAAATATAAAATCATTGCCAGTGTTATCAGTTGCAAGTGTGTATTTGTTGTAATAATGAGGAAAACATAATACATTTCACAGTAATTGCGATAAAAACGTAGCTCAAGTATGTATGCAACTTGATTTGAAGCGTGTGTGTGTGTGTGCGTGTGTGTGTGTGTGAGGGGCAGCACTGTGTGTGTGTGTGTGTGTGTGTGTGTGTGTGTGTGTGTGTGTGTGTGTGTGTGTGTGTGTGTGTGTGTGTGTAGGGTGACCAGGTGTCCCGCTTTGTGCGGGACTGCACACACAGCGTTTTTATCATTTGTCCCACGTCCCACAAATTGATATGTCAATATGTCATATAATATGTCCCGCATTTGAGTGACAGACGCGCAGAAAGGGCGGCTCGGTTCAACGACAGCCGGCACCGCCCTTTATTATTATATTTTTTAAACGGCATCATGTAAGTTGCGCTGAGAGGTGACAGAGGTCCACAGAGGTCCAAAGTGTACCCCCCCCCTCCGTGTACCCCCCCGTTGACAGTTTCAAAGTGACACAGACACATTGGATTAACCTGTGGATTAATCTTCAGCAGCGTTTCTATCGTTTTAATGCCATTGAACACAACTTTTGATCAGAACAACAGCATAGGTAAGAATTTCTCCCGTGTTTGCTCCGTAATGCTACGTGGTGTGATGTCTGGTTTTGCTTCCCATGTCGCGAGTTCTAATCGCTCAGTGATGATCTTTATATGTCTGGAATCTGTGGAATCTCAGCTTGCTAATCGATATCTTGTTTGTGCAGATCCGATAAGTAATAAGGGTATTTTACCTTGAGTTCTGTGCTAATTGCGTTAGCATTTTTCGCTCAGGGCTAATTCAGAGCCTTTGTTGTTACCCTTTTGTTTCGTTTAGAAAGCTGAGTTTCTTCCCGTTAAGTGAGTCTGACACATTCATAGTTAATTCAATGTTAAGAAGACCTCATAAGCTGTTTCTTGCAAGATGTTGCGTTTTGCCCCCGCCCGCGGGGCCGTGGGGTTTAACTGGTTTTAAATTATCAGTCCAGATTTATTGTGACCTAAAGTGCAGAGACAGATAAAAACAGAGATACAAGCACATTATTTTGAGAATAATATATGAGATGTCCAGCAGTTTGTTTGCAATACATTAGCTGGATTCTACAAACCACAAACCCAGAAATCCCAAACTAGAAATTAGTCAAATTTAGAGTTAACAATCCTTTCTTCCTCAGATCCAAGATGATTTTCAAGGCATTTGATGAGATGCTGACCCAAAGCCTGTCCCCACAACACAGCATTTCAGCAGACAACGCCAGCTTTGTCTTCACTTTGAGAAAGAGGGCAGACAAAAAGGGAGAGGGGGAAAGAACCTTCCCACATACAGTACAGTATAAAAGGCACGAGTAATGGCACAAGAGGGGAATGCAGAAAGAGAGAAAGGGCAGGGGAATGTGGTTGAAATGCAGGTCTTTTACTCACTGAAGTCTTCATGTTCTCCAGTTAAGATCAGATTTGTGATTCAAAAAACAGAAGATTACCCTTGATGTTTCATATTAGATTTTATTAATAGATAAGGATTTTATGTTTGAACACAAGAACGGGCTAATTGAATCAGAGTTTCAAAACTGTTTTGGGCCAGTCACATGTTTGATAGATGCCTTAATAAAATTACTCTATCTTATATAAATCTCTCTTTGGAAGGTATTGGAATCTCTAAATCATGTAGTTTGCCTGTTGACTCTTGCATTTTTGCTGTGGTTTTTCCTGTCCAGTTTGGGTTGTCCCAGTTCTAGGTAAGCAGCCAGCGGGACATTTAGTGATTGATGGTTCTGTCTGTAGAAGGTCAGGAACAGGAATCGGCCTTATCACTGATAAGAGCGGCGAGGTGAGGTATGTTATCTCACAGTTGATTTGTTCTCTCACAATAAACTTCCATACTCAATGTGTGTGAGGAAACATATTGACACAATGACAACAGTAGGACCCCTAATGAATTAACCTTCATATCACACTTGCTTTGTCTGATGTTGGCTTCTACTAGTGGTTTTAACGGCAGCCTAAAATCATTCTTGATTGTGTTACTTTCCTTAACCTCAACACCACTATCTGTCAACATAATTATCCCCCTTTTCTTCTTGTCCTCTACAGGCCACCAGGGAAATAAAGGTCACACATTTTGCCTGCACATAAACTGATGAAAAGGCCACTGCAGCTAGAGTTAAGAATTTAATGACGTTCAGTCGTGATTTTATGGTTAAGGCACAGTATATTTTGCGTAGATACCAAGAAACAAAACAGGAATTAACTACGGATGATCCGAAAGTAGTTCCCAACTACCTTGAATAAACAAAGAGTATAGATATGATGCTTGAGAACAGACATCATTTTATAGATAATTAATGATTAACTCTGAGTCATGAAGTTAATGGCACATAACCATATTAATCATGAGTTGCATAGCTGTTAGCTACTATTAGCCACTGCTTATTTTTGAAGGGTCCGAATAGTTTTAATCAATCTTTTAAACCAGGAGATTTCCCGATAAAACATAATATTTGAATGCACACATTTCAAATTATTCAAATTACCTCCACCACAGAATTGAGTCATGCCCCGTGGACAGCATGTTCAGTGTTGCGACAGTAGAGGAGAACAAACCTCGCCTCAGGAGCTAAAGTAGAGGAATGACAGTGAAAACAATGTTCTCTGACACATACACATATCAAAGACTCAGCGCCTAGTCTCGCCCGGGCCACATCCCTGTCTTTGTTCTTAAAGCTGCAGCTCCAGGTAAACTAAGGAGAAACAAACGCACACTCACCTGAGGGTGTGGCGAAATGAGCTGAGTGGTAGGGTGTGTGTGTGTGTGTGTGTGTGTGTGTGTGTGTGTGTGTGTGTGTGTGTGTGTGTGTGTGTGTGTCTTTATGACACAGTAGAAACACATAGCCTGGGGGGGATACTGATAAATACGCACCCACACAGTTTCGCAATCATATTAAACTCCAAACCTGAGATTTCTCACTAAGCAGGACATTAATGGACTTTCCCTGAGCTCTATTGATTATGTAAACCTGTTGTTAATGGAAAACATAGAATGGCCTGAACAAAAACACATGACAGAGAGAAGATTAATGATTGTCGACAGCAGCTCTCAAGTAACAGCAGGTCAGTTGAGTTTGACTATACATGTTGTGCTGTAGCATAACTTAAAGGAATAGGTCGACATTTTGGGAAATACACTTATTCTCATTCTTGCTGAGAGTGAGAGGAAACGATTTATTCCACTCCTATATGGGTGGTATCAATCTGTTCATCTCACTGTTGTTAAGACAAATGTGATTTTGCAAGAATACTATTTCTATGTAGCTTTATATAATTTGATACCTAAACTGGCAACTGATAGAAATAATGTTAAAACCGTTAAAACCCAATCATGTTTAATAAATACATATCAAACACATATTCCTTGTAAAAAAAAAATTGTTATGCATTCATAACACCAGTATAATACCCAAAAAGTTCATTATTTAATGCTTTTATTAAGCATGTTCTGCTTTTATTAAGCATGTTCTGAGCATGTGTGATTAATGTCCTGCTAATAGAGAGCAAGCAAAGCTATCAGTTAACCCGCAAGTGACATTGTGAGGACAAACGCCTAATTTACATTCCCATAATGGCATCTCTTATTCACAGTATTGATCCTAACCCTCTGTAGAACTTATACTCATGATTAAAACATAAAGAGACACACACACACACACACACACACACACAAAGCAGATGCAGTAATGAATCCTCTATCCTTCTTGATGAGTGTATTGATTACAGTAAATAAGGAGTAATTGATGTCATCTTGTCTAGCAGTGCTGTAACAATGTGCTGCCCTCCTTCTTACATGTATCTGTGTGTGTGTGTGTGTGTGTGTGTGTGTGTGTGTGTGTGTGTGTGTGTGTGTGTGTGTGTGTGTGTGTGTGTGTGTGTGTGTGTCAGGCCAGAGGATGTAATGTGAGGAGATGACAGCAGTAGACAGACTGTTGGTGGTCCAGGTGTGCTACAGAAAGATTTTAGCTAACTTTAGGGAGGTGCAGAGGGAGAGAATGTGACCTTCATTCTGATGGGTTTTCCCCTGACATATTAATGATGAGGCAGATGTTTGTCTTTGCTCATAATCATCAGTCTTTCCCTAATAAGAGTATGTTTTTATTTTCCTTAACGTCAGATTAGCCTAGATTGATCATGTAATGTCTTATTATTTTCCCTGCACATCAACTCCAAGATATTTTTAAATGTTGTGTCTTTAACCCTTACTTTGACTTCTGGACATAAATATGCCACTTTGAAATCACATTTTAACTCCCACCACTCACCACTTTTTTGTATCTCTCTCTGACACCAGTAACACTGTGAACTATGATGATAGACATTTCAAAAAATTCAATTTTGACCAGGCAATAATAACACAAGATCAGACCACAGTCCCTGTGCTGGATGGGAAAATATGGGCAGGGTTGTACATGGGGTTGTACATATTGTTCTCCCTACGCTTTTGAGAAAGACAGTAACGTTTGAATTGCTGCAGTAAAGCAGCTCAGAGGCAAACAATAAAACACTGTGACAGTACTGCCCACATGTCAGGGTGAAGCAGCTGGAAAATAAAACAAGGTCGTGCTGAAATAGTCAGCTTTGATTACCTTTCTTCTCACAAACATTTATTGTTGTGCCCACCATTATATTAATAAGGCAACATCTCAACTTTTCAGGAGGTTGCAATTCTTTTTTGTAACATTTATGGTGCCCCGAGGTTGAATCATACTTCCCTGACTTTTCCTCTTCTGCCAGCATGAGGTTGACATTTGTCGTTTTGATTGAAATGTCCTAATAACAGTTGGATGGATTGTCATGAAAATTCGTAAAGACATTCATGGTCCCTCAGGGAGATTTATAACAAATGTTGTGACCGCTGAACTTTAGTCTTTACATCAGTTCAAAGTGTTTAAGTTACCAAGAAATACCTGCAATACTATGAAAGACGGTGAAAATGATATCTGCAACACATCAGCATTAGGGTGTTCCTTAAAATTGAAAGCCGGAAAGTCTAAGCTCCAACCCCAGAATTAATTCTATTAGTCAAGAAGAATCTCGTGGTGAATTTTTTCCTCAATCTGACAACATTTACCCCTCCCTTATCAACCTTGAAGTTTAGCCTCAGTTGCAGCACCGTGGCTGCTAGTGTGGCAGCCCAGATTGATGAGGGAGGGATAAATGTTGTTGGAATTTGATTCCAGGAGAGTTTTCTTGACTATCATAACGAATTCCGGTGGTTGGAGCTTAAAATAAATGAATTAGAAAATGTACATGGCACTAAGGACCACCCTAATCAGCATGTTAGCATTGTTATTGTGAACATGTTAGCATGCTGACCTAAGCATTTATGTCAAAGCACTAGCACGATTAAAACCTCACAGAGCTGCTCGCGTGACAGTAGACACTTGGTCAGTTGATGTAGTTTAATTTAATTAGAGCGGTCAATGCAAAAAAAATATCATAATCTAGCTTAACAATCAGATTTTATGTAATTGATCCTTAGTGTAATATGGAAAACGTATCCGTTTTAACACTACAATCATAGCTTTGCTCGAAGGAATGCAAACACACATATACATACATACACACACACACACACACACACTCACTGAACACACACCAATGCATCCCCATTGTCCATAACTCAAAGCTGGCAGCACAACAGAACAGTTTCCCTCATAATGGCCTGCTTTTGCAGCCAGATAGAGCTATGCATTATAAGGTGGAACCAGTTTCAGACACACACACACACACACACAAATACACATAATCACACACTGCGCTGTTTTCGTACTATACTGTACATTAAAAAAAAACACACACATACACTCCACACTCTGCAGGAAGGAGTGTCGTCTAAGTAGGAAAGCTAAATGCAATGTTTGTCACTCATCTTGCTGTCTGCTAATCGGGGCACTCGTATGAATATAACAAATGATAATGTTGTTTAACAATGATAATAATATCGGTATATTTGGCATTGTGTGGTCTTTATCTCAGTATGTACACATTTTTGTTTTTGTAAAACCTTTTTAACAAATCAAAGGAATTTTAGGAAAATAATTTTGTGACGAATAATGAATTAAAATGCTTGTTCTTCTTTCAGGCTTTCTGATCCTGTCTAATTGTCTCCTCACCTTCCAGTGAGGCCTAGACACACAAACACACAAACACACACACTGCTCTGTGTCGCATAACCGGTTTCTATCTGGTCCATGCACTGAAGGAGACTGCATTGGGCAGGGCAGAGAGCTCCAGTGTGTGTTTATGTGTATGTGTGGGAATCTCAGAATTCAACAGAGGCAGACAGTACCATTTATCAGACACCTTTAGAGCTGCCCCAGGCGATGCATATCATCCATACACAGGCAGGAAGGGTGTCAAAGGATCAAAGAGTCACACAAAAGCCAGAGAGATACACTCAGGAGCACCAGATCACTCCTAGAAAAATATTTCCATTGTGTTAAAAAGACAAAAAAGCATTCCTTGCAGTGAAATTGTCATGAGGTCAAAGAGAAAGTGTTCCGCCTTGTAAGTGAGGGAACCCTCCCTGCGCCATGTCTGGTGACTCCAGTTTACAAGCGTCCTCTTCGTCCACACACACACACAAATGCATTCCTGCACATTAACCGTAACTTGTGACATACATATACTCTGTCACGGAAGCGTAATGCATTCACAAAAAATATTTGCACTGTTTAATTTAATTAACAAGATTATCATCTTAGAACTTTGAGAAGAAAACAATTGCATGTTTTTTCTGAATAAACAAAATACTTCAAAATCCCAATGATAAACTCTTGTTTATTTTTGAAACCTTCATTTAATGGAAGAAAACATGTCTGGCCTGGTTAGTTTAATCCAGTTGTATTCAGCGTCTCTTCTGTTTTAGAGTTATTTCTTTAATTAAAACGAGCAGAATTGTCTTTACATGAAAACCTTTCTTGAAATATTTAATTCAGAAAACGCTTCCGTAGCCTGTCGCTGTTCAGACGTGCGGCCTCTACAGCTGCTAACATGACTTGTTACACCCACACAGGTGTATGAGTTGGTGTCTATTATTTTCAAAGTTTGTTTAACTTGTGTCCATGAGCAAAGGTGTTTAATCACCCTCAGCTTCCCCCTGTGGCAACATGTCACGGCACAGTGCATATTTGATTCCTCCTAACAAGCTCAGCTGTTTATTGGCCTTCTGGTGAGTCCTAACAGAGGCTATTGCTCAGTCAAAAACATTACATGCCATTTGTGCATGTGTCAGAGAGATCTGTCTTAACAAGTCTGAAAATGATACCTCACCTTGTTAATGCCACAATTTTACAGGTCACCAAGGTAACCAAGAATTCCTGCAGAGCTCCTCAGTGAAATCTCAGGTAAGTGTGATATATAACAGTCTCAGTCTCACACACTGGGATGTAGGTATGCACACCTGGAATGTGGAAACGTGGGAGAACACATTATTCTACTCATTCAGTAGCGACAGGACAATATAGAGAGTGAATGTGTTAACACACAAACACACACACACACACACACACACACACACACACACACACACAGAGATCCTAACACAAAGTGAACAAAATGAGGAATGCAGATGGCAGATATGAACATCACATGTGACTGTATCTTTAGCACTAGGGATGCAGAGCATTGTAATTTGTATGTGGTACAATACAATTCCTTATCATATACAGTGTTTTGACGTCTAACAGCATCCACCATGAATGAATAAAGAACACTGAATATTTTTTTAGATAAATCAGTAATGTCTAATGTCAAATATATTCTGAAGATTTATCTTGTGTTAGACATGTGACTGAATGCTCTTTCACAGAATTTAGACAAAGCATTCATTATAGCAATTTATGTCAAATGTCACACATAAATGGATTTGGCAACCAACCATATAGAACACAGTTAACTTTCATTAAAAATAAACTTTTTCAGGCTCATGCTCCAAATCTATGTCTGTTTTTTTTCACAAAACTGTATCTCAGGGCTTCTTAACATTTAACAAACTATGAATGTGTGTCATACCCACCTAACGGGAAGAAACTCAGCTAACTGACGATACGAACAATTTTTATTGAAACAAAACATAAGTCTCGCAAGAAGCGTCTAAATGAGCCCTGAAAATGCTAGCGCACTTAGCACAGAACTCACGGTATAAATACTTTACTATTTATTATATTGGATCTACACAGACAAGATATTAGCGAGCAAGCTGAGATTCCACAGATTCTAGAAAGATAAGTATCACCACTGTGCGATCAAAACTCGCGACAGGGGGAGCTAACCCAGATAACACACAACGTAGCTTTACGGAGGAAACGCGGAAAAAAGTCTTACCTTGCTGTTTCTGATCAAAAGTTGTGTTCAATGGCATTAAAACGAGAAAAACGCTGCAGATGATTAATCCATAGGTTAATCCGATGTGTCTGTGTCACTTTGAAATTACTGATGATCCATCAACGACCAGCGACCCTCCCCGACAGGCGCAAAGACGCGAGGGCCCGTCCACAACTGCGCACGACTGACCACAGTTTTCATTTACATTTTTTCAATCTGAATTTACTTTAAAATAAAATAAATCTATATTGATTCTGACTCTTCTACATCCCACTCACAGGTTTATCATTGCTTTGAGAAAAAATATTATTAATTTACCCCTTTTAGAAGTGAAGTTATAGTCATTTGTTCTGGGAATGTCATTTTCCAGCCTGAGACCTGGAAAACAGGCTCAGGGTTTATCAGATTAAATGACATGTGTAGGAATTAATATAAATGTGTAGTTTTGTAGCAAAGTCAATATGTCATAAACATCCGTGCCAGTAGAGGAAACCATAGAGGGCATGGAACCATTCGTACCAAACAACTGATATGCTTTGGCTCATGTCCTAACTTTCCACCATATTTCCCTGGAATAATCAAGCAGGTACAAACTCCTGTTTTTTTAGAGGAATTAATGATCCAAAAGGTTTCACCCAGAAGCAATAGAAGCATCACATTTAAAAAGAAAAATGTTTTTTTAAGATTGAATACCAAAGACCAGGCGAGAGAGCAGGAATGAGTCCCGACATGCAGGACCGGAATGAGAGAGGATTCATGACCACAATCCAGCACCTCGCCCTGCCACTCCCTGCTCCTTAGTCTTTCCCACCTCTACTCCCTTTAATATCCAACCCCTGCTCTCTGCCTTCACTTTCTCTCCTTCCAGCTGACATACATCTCTTCACGTTATTATGTGTCAAAATAAATGAATCATATAAGGGTGGGAGAACATTCAAAACGCTTACAAGACTCCTGTACTGATTCACAGGAAGCTTGCACACCTTCAGCCACACACACACACACACACACACACACACACACACACACACAAATCGGGAGTACTGTGTTGCTTCAACAATAAAGATTGTGCACTTCAGTCCAATGTTTTAGAAGGTCTTTCCTTACAGTTTACAAATCCCTCAAGTTTATTTATGTGAACAAATATAAGCAATCCTTATTGGCATCATCAGATGTCTTCCGTCAAATAAAATGATAATTTATGAATCATTTCCTGGCTGGACATTGCCAGACTCTTGATTAGCTGATCCACCTTTATTTGCCTAATCCTTTCCTGCCCCACCTACAAACTGGCACAGAAACACACACACACACACACACACACACACACTGAGCACACAGGCAGGAAGTGAAAACACACCCAGTCGGCTGGAATCCAATTTTTTCTTATATGATTTGTTTCCTCTGTAGCATCTCCACTTCACCACCAATACATTAATATATAATAGAAAGCTTTTAATCCCTAAAAAAGAATCCCTTAATCACTGCGATCTTACTTGTGACAATTAACAAAGCTGTAATTTAAGCTCTTATTCAACTAAGACCTGTCAGATAATATACAAGCATACGCATGGTGAGGTAAAGAGAAAGACCCTGTGAGATATTTCATCACATGTCCTTTATTAAATCCACCTTTGGATAAAAGATATATAGTTGAGAGGAACTGGAGAGAAAACAGGATAATGCTGTGGATTGGATTAACAACCCTCAAGCATTATGTTTGTCTTCTTGTTATTGCACATTTTATTATTCAGCACGTTCTGTCATGCTTGGGAATCTACGTCTGGTAATACTGAGAAAAACCCTTGTCATTGGACGACCATGGACGGTTAATCATCAAGTTGGCCTCAGGCCCTGCAATCCAATGTCGTTAATAGTTGCTTTCCATTAATCTAACAGTGCTTCTCTGTATGGTTATGGGCCACAAACATATTTTATGATGGTGAGATGTGGTTTGATGTGCGTCTGCTCATCTGACAGACATGAGGGAGGAAGTGAAGCCTGAGCTTGCTACTACATGCTCAACGTAAAACATTATTTCAATGTTTGCTGCCCTCTGCTGGTGGTTACACTTCAAATGTCATGAGCGCATTGACAAAACACCTCTGAAGCTTGTCTTATAAGCCTACAGCTGAGTTAATTCCCCACTGTTATTGCTGATGTCATTTGTGTGGGGATTTGTATTTTTATGAAATAGGGAATATTGTATTCTAAAATTACATAAATATTGGTTGTCAGATGTTTGAAACATAATTTTGATATTAGACACAAAAAAAAGATTTGGTTTTCTATAACTGGATTAAATGCATTGCAGTGTAGAGAAGACTATGAAAGATTTAGACCATAAGTATGAGAGATAGTTACAGATAATATAATGAAACAGCAAAGTTAATGCTTAAAAGGTAAAACAGAGAGAACATAATACAGTGTTTGGTTGATGGCAAGTCTTTTATTTCTTAAGTGGATGGGAGAATTTGGATTAAGGACCTTGATAATCTAAAATACCAAGGAATTACTTGGGTTGTTTCCATTTAAAAGTCCCTCCAAATTGTCACAAATCATTATCAACTTCCATTGTTCAATGTATCAGCTGGTCAGCTGCTGATGGGTTAGCAAAAGAACAGACTGACATTGGGGTTTCTTAAAGTGACAGCACTAACACTCAGGACATGCATAGATCTCTACTACAGTTACACGATGCACCAGCAACTGCTTTTTCTCTGTATACGCTACAATCTTCTAGGGGGAAAAAACAACTCAGTATAACTGAAAATACAGATACTGTATGTGTTGCCCCTAGTTAATAAATATAAGCAAAATAATAAAAAATATATTTTTTATACATTTTACAGGTAGAAACGGTAACTGTCTTGCTTTTTTCGAGGTAAATAGATTTCTAACTTGTTGGCGTGAGCAGTCTCATTTATTCAATTCTAGATTCCTCTCTTCTGGCAGTTTGGTGAGAATATCCACCCCGTCAGATGTGATGACCACCGTGTGCTCAAACTGAGCCGACCTGCATGAATGTCAGTTAAGAAAACACAACATGTGTTAGCTTTAAGAAGAACAATTTGATCTGTGTAAGAGTATGAAATTTGAGATACGTTGGTTAATTTGGTCAAATACAGAAAAAAAATGTAATGTCAAAAATATTTGTCTTTGTTTTATGTACGTCTGCATCACATAAGAAAAAAACGAAATACCTTGAATGTCATGATAACAATAATACTTGTGTAACGTAATAATGATAAGGGTGTGTTCAGATCTTCTTTTCTGCTGCATTGAGTTTACTGCTAACATACAACATATTGCTTGTTGAGTTCTTAACAATGAAAAGTAAAACACAATTATTTATTTTATTGAATAAATTAAACATTAATCCAATCTACTAATAAATAAGAATAAGAGTTACGAGACAACAATTACCAAGGTGGAATATCCCAGTCTTTCTCCATAAGTTGAAGTTGTGATAGATTGTGCATTGTCTTAAGCAGTTCTAGTTTTAAGACTTGAATGTGCTATAATGATGCTAGCTTGGAAACATTTTGGTCAGGAAACTTTTTTTTGCTAAAACACAGAGCCAAAATATAACTAGTTGTGACCTTTTATTGTCTGTAGACACTGCGGTCCACTTGTCCCTCAGGATCCTGAACTCTGAAGAGCCCTCCATCAGTATGGGCTCTACAAAGAAACAGAGGTGTTAGTACCACGTTTATACACAGTGGTATCTTAATGTTGAAACAAAAATAAGATGAATAAAGTAACTTGCCTATTGTGAAAGACATCCCTTCATCCATGATCATATCATTGTCGTTTGCTGAAAATAAACAAAAAGATGATTCTCTTAAATGATTAAAAATGATTTTCGGCAACATTGGTATGGTTTCCAGATTCATTTTTATTGTTCCCATTTCAGCTTTTTAATATCCTAGAGTACAAACTAGACAAGTTGTATGAGATGTACAGACCTTTACAGTATTCCATATACATTTTCTCCAGACAGTACATACAACATTTAAAGGAAACCCATACAATCCCAAAGAAAGCCTATTGACAAAGTCAGAGTCTGCATGCACACATATGATAACATCTCAAGGCTTATTCAAACTCACCATGGTGCCAAATCTCAGGATGGCAATGAAAGTAGGAACCTATTCCATGACCAATGAAAAAAGGGCACACACGGAAGCCACTGGCCAGCGCAATTTCACTGCAACAAGAACAACAAATATTATAAACAATGAATGTCATTCATTTTAGTCTGGATTTCTTTGTTTTTAGAGCTCATTTCAGTTTAGTTTCAGCTTTTCAGAAAGGTTTAGTTTAGTCATAGTTGGCCAGGTATAATGTCTAAGAAGTATGTAGCTACAGAATACATAGTTAGAGAACTGTGTAGGAATGGCTTTCATTTCCAAATCTTTTAATTTGGTAATCAACAACCCTTTCACATTAAATCATGATCTTGGTAGTTATTCTACAAGAAAAAACAAGGATTCATACATTTTTAAATATTGCGGCATAGCGCCCTCTCCTGGAATGTTAAAACCTAAATTAATTTATTTCAATTTGTATTGATTTGAATCACCCAATATAGTTTCAGTTTGGTTTATCTTTCTTAAAGGATATTATTTGATTTAGTTGTTACCTGATAGTGTTTCCTATAACACAGAGCTGTGCACCCGGCCTGCAGGCAGTGATGGCTTCGTCTCGGCAGCGCCTGGCTGTTTCCACCAATCGCTGCCCGACCTCGTCCACCTGGCCAATCAAGAAGGTCTCTGAGGTGTCACCATGGTAACCATCTAGATACACCTGTAAGAAGCAGGCAGAAGTCAGTGATGTTCTGGTAACGTTTGCAGTAATGTCTTTGAGTTTGATTGTGTGTCTGTTAAAGCATCAACTCACAGTGACATCAACGTTGATGATATCTCCGTCCTCAAGTTGCCGACTGCAGGACACAAGCATATCAAAAATGAACGTTGCAAACACAGAAAATCTCTCACATTCTTAATTTTGTACCACATTTGCATAACATAATAATTGATACTGGCCGTCATAATAGTACCTTAGCTTATAATATAACAAATCTTTTTTTTATTAGTTGCCAAAATTAATTTGAATGTGTTCTACTCTTGAGATAAAAATCATTTTCAAATTGACATAACATTAAACATTTTAGAATCTTTAATACAAATATTGTCCTGTTTATTTAAATAATGTGTGTCATTAACACCTTAATGTACGTGACTTGAGAATAATTTACAATATATTCAGCTTCCTGAATGTATCAAAATGAAGTATTAATCCCTTAAACTCACTTATTATGATAGTCTCTTAAATAAAAAGGCTCATGGCAAAGGACAAACATTTTTCCTCCATGATGCCCTTAGCATGAAAAGTTTTGGACACCCCTCATCAGAAGGTTGTGAGGGGTGTGCTGTTACCTGTCAGGTATCCCGTGGCAGATCACGTTGTTCACAGACGTACAGACTGACTTGGGAAAACCCCCGTATCTCAGAGGGGATGGGTAGGCGTTGTGCTTGATAGTCTCTTGGTGCACAATGAAGTCTATATCATCTGTTGTCATACCTACCTGGAAGTCACAGATCAAAATTGGAACATTGTTTTTGATGTTATAGAATCATAAACGCCCCCCGTAGTTATAAGGTGCTTACCCTCAAGCTGCGTCCAGCTAGTAGCAGTACTTGTCTGGCTAACTGACACGCTCTGGCGAGGCTGTCGATCTGCTCTTGGTCTTTGATTTCTAGGTAGTCTGGCCATTCTGGGACAATCCCACTTGTTACATAGCCAGGCTGCACAATGTGCTACAGTCAGGGAGGGAAAACAGAGTACAAAGGGTGGGGAAATTAAAGGAGTCATTATTTAGAAATACACACCAAATTACAATATGAAATTTGAGCTGACTTAGAAAATCACGAGGTGCCGTACCTTAGGTACTGCATAGGCAGGCCGAACAGTAGCTGGGTGAACTACATTTTGAGAACTTTTCCACTTCCTCCAGAAGAGGTGCCGATGTTGCTGACACAGTAGGGCTGTGGGGGGGCCAGAGTTTCTTAAACGGCAAGCTCTCTGCAGAAAACCACCCAAGCCTGGAAAAAAGCAAAGCAACACAATGAAGATATACGGGTTCTCTTTCACAAAGCTTTTCTGCAAACATAAATGGTAGAAGTAGAAATGTTATGATGGGGCTGGGAACCACCTTCACAAATGTTTTTTAATCAATTAAACAACAGTGACTGTGTGGTCAACCATATCTGATGAGAACATCCTCAAATATGTAAGTACATGGGATGTCCTGGACATTGACCTCTAATTGACCGACAAGGTAAACTCAGTTAGAGTGCAGCAGAAGAAACTTTGTTATATGTTATCCTCCTCATAGAATAAAATAAAATAAGTGATCACAAATCAGGACTACTGTGTGGAAGACCACACGCTGCATGGTTTTATTATGTTCGCATCCGTTTCACTGTAAGGGAAAGATAATATTGAGTAGATAATGACAATCTTGCAAAGGTAATTATTTCGTATGTTTTGCTGTGCACATTATATGCTTTAACAAGTAAGACCTTGTTCACCCTAATATGTTATATTATTACCTTTCTTTGTGTAAAAGAAACTTGGGCCAGTGGTTATTATTCCAGCAAATAAGTGATGGTTGTTTTTGGAACTAATAATAAAGCTATAGATTACACTTTGCTCAGTGCAATGGAAACTTGGAGGTAAAAGGGTAAATATCATGGTAAACATCCAGTTCACTTGTGCGGGTAAAATAATATGCAACATACACTTTGTGGCCAATGTATCAGGTACTCCTGTGCACTGTAATGCAGTCAAAAGAACTACTTTAACTATTTAACTAAGTGTAATATATTTGAAAACATGTCTTACTTAGTGTGTGTGTGTTGTACTGGACTGCATGGTAATAAGGGGTGTTTCTAATATTCTGACCCCTTACTGCCCAGTCGGGATACAACGGTTCATTTGACGTAAGTTAGCTAGCAAGCTAACAGTGGTTAAAACACCGCCCCTCTTTGACACAATATTAGAGCTGCTGTCATGTTCTAATGTGTTTGTTAAAGAAGTACTTTAACTATGACTAACGCGAGGACACACGTTGTGGTCCAAGCAGCCGCTGATGTTAGCTGTCTATAGAGTATGGACAGGCGATTATTTAGCTCAGTACCTGCCGCTCTTGTTGCTAGTCGTGCAGAACAGTGCGCCGCCATGGATTTTTATTGAGAGTCACGTGGTGCGGAAGTCACGTGACGCACGGATACTAGTTCTCGATCTGTCTCTCTTGCACCATCCAGGCATGGATGTACTGTATAATAAGAACCATCCAGGCAATGTCAAGTATAATTTATTATATAAACGTTTCCGTGTATTTTGTTTTCATTATTAATTTTCCACGGACTTGTTTTCTTTCTTATGATTTTTAACATGTATATATATACATATATATATATATGTATATATATAAAAAAAAAAAAGTAGCAATATCATTTAAATTCTAAGCTGTGTTGTTTCTTGTATGGCTTTTTTTCCTCCTTTTTTGTTCAATTTTAAATGTATGTGATGATTTTCCTGTGTGTTTAACACATCATTCTTTTTACCAATACAGTTAAGAAAAACACTCCCAATCTAAAATGTATGTGCAATGTTTTTTCTCTGCTTGTTTTTCTTTTATTGCCTTGTTTTCATCATGTTTGTTGCTGATGGTTGTTGAAAATCACCAAACGTCATTTGGTTGTATGTGTTAAGTGACAATAAAGTGTCTAATGCAAAGACTGACATCTGCTGGCATTAGGCTACTCTTGTATATCCTGTTGAGTATTACTTTTATTTATTGTAAGGCGACCTCAAAAATAAAATGTTTAATTATTATTATTATTATAACTTTGTTTCAATTTTAAGCTTAGTTTGATTTTTTCAGGTCCTTAACAATTCACATCTGAAATATTTAACAATCCAATTACGCTGTTCCTCTCCGCCAGGCCCGGTTCAAGAACAAAATGACTCAGGGTGCATCTGAGATTAGAGAGGGTGCAGTGGTAGAGTGCTATTTTTCTAAGTGGGGAGTCGACCTAATACCCAGGGGGTCCTCACCTCCTCTAGGGGGGTCCGGGGGCATGCTCCCCCGGGAAGATTTTTTTTTAAATATTGAAGTTAAAAGCATCAATCTGGTGCACTTGAGCAAAAATGAAGATATCTATGGATACATCTCAACACCCATATGAAACAGAACTGTAAACAGATTTACTATTTCTCTGTACAGGCGAGTTGGGGACTTTTTTAAATATACCTGGGCAGGCTCTGTTTTGCCGAGGTCCTCTGGCACTTGCGGGCCGCTGAGGGGTGGCGGTGTTTGGGGCAACGAAGACGGCTGCGGCTGCATTGCCTCCGTGGGCGAGGCGGGCAAAGTCGGCGAGTCGGGCGGGAGGACGTTAGTGTCCACGACAGTGGCCGCGGGTAACGTACTGTCCCCATGATCAGGGGCCTCATTTATAAAGGGATATACGTTCAAAAAATGGCGTACGGCAGTTTCTACGCAATGTTTGCGATTTATAAAATACTAACTTGACGGGAAAACGTGCGCTCCTCCACGCAAACTCTAACCCATGCGTACGCACTAAGCACAAAAACGGGAGAGACGAGAAACTGCGACACCGTTGGCAGAAGGAAGAATGGAGAGAAATATGTGGAAATAATACCATAAATAAAATGTTACCTCTCATTTATCATATATGAAGAATTCATTTTCAAACATTGATTAAAGCCAATCTTAAAATGATTTAACAAACGCCTGTTTGAGACTCCTCAGTGCACACAAAAACATAACTGGGAGAAATAAATAAATACGGATATGTTATTTAAAACCACCTCGAATATGTTGTGTTAATGTTATGAAATGTTTTCTCATAAATGATGCGATAAGCAGGAGGACAGAATTACGTCTACACTGACGCCGTTTTGCATTTCTATAGGTTGTAGATACGAGCATGGTTTTATATATGTTTAATACATGTTTAATCGTGTTTTATGCCGTTTGCCAAGACTTGATAAGTCGCTCGTAAAATACAGGATGTATGGAAACTAAGAGCACCATATGTGGTAAATTTTACAAATATAACACAACACATTAGTTGGTTTCCTTTAACTCGTGGATATAGAGTTGCTGCGGGGGTTGAGATGCACAGGCTGCAGTGCAGACGCTGCGCACAGCTGATCGACAGCTGGGATACAAACCGCCAAATACAACAACATAATTCTGATCCAGCCGTCATGACTCCACTCCGGAGGGATCCCCCGATCATTTCTTAGAGTTTCTCATCAAGGGGGGGTCTCCTGTCCCCGGTACAAACACACTGCCTGAGGAAGGCTATGTGTATTTTTTTTTGTCATTAACCTTTTTCGGACCACTTATTTATTTATTTTGGTGACGATCCGACCTCCATG